ATATATATTCTAATTCAATAAACTCAGAACCAAATTCTGTACACAAGAGATTGAGTTATACGCTAATTTGCATACCTTCCGGCAGATCCAGCGAAATTTGTGTGAGCTGCAAGGTATTCAGATAGGCCTGCATCAAATTTTGGACTTTCTCATCCAGTGTGGCTTGGTAAACCTTACTGGTGACTCCCATAATGCCATTCCCGGAAGTGCTAGCCACTTCTGCAGTTCCTTCCTCACATTGCACGTCCTCTATGTACTTAGTGAGCATTCCTACTCTCTTCTGCTCCCTAGCCATTCCAGGGGACAATATTCCCACTGCTTCACCGTCGTCACCACCTAATCTATTCACCTCTTGCTGTAGAGTATCCGCTTGTGATAGCGCTGCAGTATGGTCAATCATCGGACCCTCTGTAGAGTCGAGCCTAAGCCTGTCCGCGCCTGGCACCCTGGCTGCATCAGCGCCGGAACTCTGGCCAAGTGCTTTCTGATATGACTTCCCCGTTTTCGGTCCTCCTCTTGGCGCCCTGATTGAGCCTTTCTTGGTTTCGCCATCCACCTTCCATTGGTATTGAAATTGGTACTGTGCTTGTCCATGGTCGATCTCGGACTTCCCTTCACTTCCCTTCGACGGGCATGCGCTAGTAGGCACAACACCGATAGGACGAGTGGCGGGTGTGTATGCTCTGAAAGTGTGTTGCTGTCTCTGTTGTTGTGCTTTAGCGTCGTCGTCATTCTGTTTTAATGAATGCTGCGGACGTTGTTGCTTCGTTTGTACTTCACGTTCTTGATCCTGCAAGTACTGCTGACTCCTCTGGCGTGACTGCGGCCGTGGCCCTTTGCTGTCACCCTCAAAGTTGTTCCTCGGCATTGCCAGACCTGTACTGCTATTGCTTGCTTCACCACCTTTCATCCTCCTGTACGTATAACCAGCTTCAACATTCTCTAACTCACCGTGCGAACGTTTGTACCCCTGGGCACCCATGCTGACACCTAAATTGAGCCTCGGAGGCAAGGGCATGCTTTTGCCATGGTCTATATACCTCTGTTCTTCTTGTGAGTCGGTATACCTGTTATTAATCTGTACAGGCTCTGACGATAGCGATCGCTCCGGTAGCAATATCCTATTCGCACTAAAAGGATTGAATTGATCGTTAGCTATGTTTGATTCCTGCAGTTTTATCGTGTAACTGGTACGCTCACGAGACTTCGGGCTCGTTCCTGCACTGTTCGTAAACCCACTAAGTTCACGTCGATACTGTTTCAGATGGCCCCCAGCGCCTTCTGGCGAGACGCTGGTGTGGAACTGATCCGCCATATGGCATTTAATACGATAAACATGCGCGTAAGCGAGGTATGAGGATAGACAGAAGTGTTTATGTGTGTGTGTCTCAGAGATGTATATATTTATAATATGGCTTTTGATCTCTCTCGATATTGAAATCTCTCTTCTCTACTATTTAGAGAGAGAATGTAGTGACAGTGACTATGTACAATACATACCAGCAGTATGTACGGCTACTTAGGGGGGGGGGGGTTTGCTAAAAACCAAATGCCATAGATCGGTAACCAATAGTATTATATTTTAGTAAATACCAAACAAAAGCCGACGACATATTAGTAGTATCAGTATGTGGTGCCTACGCCCTACATTCCTACAAGCTTCAGCCCTACAGACACTCTACAGTCAACAGTGCCGATGGCCGAATCGTCAGCCAGCTTGGACTCCTTGGAGACTACATTGAGCGAGTGTGTATTGTGTTATTTGTGTGTGTGTTACAACTTTCCATACCGTCCAGATAGCAGAGACACAATGATATTGTTGTCAATCAAGAGAGTATGCACTGCAAGCAATCCAAACTCAATCTGAAGAGAAGAGCGTATCATTCAGACTTCGTGACGTTCAATGTCTGGGCACCTATGCAGATAACCTACGCCGTCCTTGGTACCGGCAGTGAAAGAACGAATCGTTTTCGTGTGCGCCCGCGGGTCGAGCATCATGGGTTCAGCGTGTTCGTAGTACATTTACACCACCAACCCAGAAGTGCTTTGAAATCTGTGCTGAAGTAAAATTCGTCACCCATAAACCCTATCAACGTATGTTTGCGTATTTACACGTATGTGTACTTATAGT